CGAAAAAAATGAAAAAACCTAAGAGTCACGAAAGCTTCAAATCTAGAATTAATAACGTTATAATTACGTTGCAATAACGTTACAATTACGTCGCAATAACGTTAAAATGACATTACACGTGTGCGGTTAGGTATCTGTAAATTAGAGTTTTAGCCGTGCTAAAGGCTGAATATTCAGCAATTCCTGTTGATTGATTATTTTATTAAGATAATTGACTATTTTTATTAACCCAAATGGTTTAGATGATAAGGAGGAGAGGCACAGGGAGGATAAATGCAGGCGTATATATTATATATATATATAAAACTATGTAATGTTATTTAAAATATAATGTTTCGAAAGTTTACCACTTTAATATCAATTTAAAGCTTTCGTGACTGCAGGAATTCATATTCTTGGTTCTTTTGGTAAAGTCACGTAGAAGGGAAATAAAAAAAAAGATGTAATACTAAATAATATAATTTTATTTTGCCTTATTTCCCTTCTACGTGACTTTATCGAAAGAACCAAGAATTTGACTTTAATATCATCATCATAAAAGTGCAGTATTTTATCAACAAACATTTGCGATTCATGTCTCATTGCAAAGGTGGTCCTGGCAAGATGGCAGCAATAATATAATTACATTATTTAATATTTATTGTCAGAATCTACTGTTGGATGAAGCCCCCCCCACCCACCCCGTTTTGTTATTCATGTGGGAGCTGTTAGACCATCACGCTGGTCAGTGTGATCTAGTAGACAACCTACTGTAAGTCTACGGAAACAGACAAAAACACATTGTCCTGCGGAGGGAGCTGGTAGGAACGTTGGGTTGCTCGGTGAATGGCCAGGGTCAACGGCGGCGTGGTGTATTCCGCAAATATGGCCGACTGTGAGGGCGGGCACAAGCCGGCGTGAGTAGGTTAAACGTTGAGTTTTATAAGGGCACCACGGGGTGACCAGCCCCTCCCCACCCAGCCCCACCCCTCCCACCCCCCACCCAGCCCCACCCTCCCCACCCAGCCCCTCCCCACCCTCCCCTCCCCACCCAGCCCCTCCCGACCCTCCCCACCCAGCCCCTCCCCACCCTCCCCTCTCCACCCAGCCCCACCCCTCTCATTTTTTAATGCACGACGGACGGACACAATAATCCCCTGTGGGCTGGTGTAACCAGGAAGTTCCTACCAGTAAAAACGCACGTCTATGGGTTTCATCAAATCTATTGTTCTTTATGCAAGTCGACATCTGGGTCTCCTATGAAAGTCCACGTCTCGCTCTCTAAATCCGTGGGTTTCTTCTGCAGAGAGCTGAACCGTTTTGCTGTATTTATTTAAACCCGGGCCGCTCTTTGTAAACAAAAGATTCCTGGCCCCAACGTGACTCTCGCCTGGCACTAATTAAAGGTCATCTGTCTGCCTGGCCTGCTGCGGATTATGCGTAATGCCTGGAGTAGGTGGTGGGGGGGGCTGGTGACAAAAAACATCAGCCACGAAGCAACACACAACATAGTGGTTTGTTATCTTCTTGGTTCTTTCGGTAAAGTCACGTAGAAGGGAAGTAATAAAATAATAAAATAACATAATTCTCACGACGTTTCGGCCACAACGCAAGCAGCCGCCCTCAGGTGAAGACCAGGTCTGTCGGGGAGACAGTCTGAATGTCTGAATTATTCAGACGCTGTCTCCCCGACAGACCTGGTCTTCACCTGAGGACGGTTGCTTGCGTTGTGGCCGAAACGTCGTGAGAATTATTTTATTTTATTATGTTTTATTTTAATTATTTTATTACTTCCCTTCTACGTGACTTTACCGAAAGAACCAAGAAGATGAATCCCTGCAGTCACGAAAGCTTTAAATAGTGGTTTGTTTTAAACAAAAACAAAACCAACCCCCAAAAGTGAGCGTTCTCTCTCAGGAAAACGTGGTAGAAATTCTTCGAATTCTGGAGGGGGGATGGGGGGGTGTTGTATTTGGGAAATATCAGACTCTTTTACTTTAGGAGATTGGATGGCACAAATTTGAGTGAGACTTTATTTAACAAGGGACGCGCACTCCCAGTTGTCCACGCTTTGTGTAAACAAGGAGCATTTTGTTGTTGTTGTTGTCACACAGATCGTCAAACACCACGCGCGCTCATTGCACGTGATGGCGTTCGACAGGCGTACGACGAGGACGCTTGAACGAATGGGTTACTCCAGAAGGCTGCAATTGCTTGCTCCACGCCGCCGCTGATGATCGGGGCCTCAACTAGAGAGAGAGAGAGAGCATTAGAGAGATCCCCTCTCTACTGGTATTTCTGAATCGGCAGCATTATTTGGCCTACTCTTCAATGCTATGATTCTAAAACAACACCACGCCCGGACACTTTCGTCTCCCCAGTGTTCTTTGTTTTTTTTGCGTTCGTAAAATACTCCTCTTGCAGATATTCGGGGAAAATGTTTGTTTTTTCCTAACAATACTTACAGTATTTTAACAACAACAAAAAACATTTGCAGAACGGAAAAATAAGATCAAACGAATTTGGTCGACTTCTAAAAAAAAACCATTCAAAAAATATTCCGATCCCTCTCACCTTGGCTTTGACCCCCAACATGCCCGAGTGACAGCAAGAAGGATTGAGTACGCGGGGCTGTGCCCTCTCTCTCTCGCACAACTTGACGCACGTGAATGTTTTAAAGCCCACGCACGCACGCCAGACCCGACACCTGGCGCGCGTTCCTTGCGTTGTTCGCTCCCAGGTATTCACCGCTGCCGCTAATGAGCAGCTCCAGGTGAAAACCACACGGCCAATCACTCACCTGACGGCAGCGACGCACTTGCATACACAGATAATGAAACTCGCCATTTTCACATTGAACAAAGGCAAAGATTCCCCGTGTAGCCTTGCCAAAGTTTGTGGGGGCAAGTGCTGTTAGCAAAGAGCGCCTTGTGATGGCAGGGGGTGGGTGGCCAACACTACGCCCGCCCGCCTTTGTCTCCCCAGTGGCGATGTTTACACACCGCACCAGGTACTCATTGGGGGCTGAGTCGACCTAGGAGAGGCCCGGGACCGGTTCAGATAATCGTCACCGGTGTTGTGGGGGGATCGCGAGCGGGAATTGAACTTGGCAGGGACGCCGGGTTTGTTGCGCAGCGCGCTAACCGCGGCACCACCGCTCCACACGAACACACTGGCAATGAGCACCAACTTATTGGTTCTTTCGGTAAAGTCACGTAGAATGGAAATAATAAAATAATCAAAATAAAACATAATAAAATAATTCTCACGACGTTTCGGCCACAACGCAAGCAGCTGTCGAGAAGACAGACCTGTTCTCTACCTGATGACAGCTGCTTGCGTTGTGGCCGAAACGTCGTGAGAATTATTTTATTACGTTTTATTTTGATTATTTTATTATTTCCCATTCTACGTGATGACTTTACCGAAAGAACCAAGAAGATGAATTCCTGCAGTCACGAAAGCTTTAAATCGAAATGAGCACCAACTCGCGGCCTCAAACACTCAGGCTTGAGCCGCCTCCCAAGAGGCGCGAGCGAGCGGCCTCAGCCGTGGCTCAGCTCCGGGCAAATCCTGAGCGTGGCGGTCTCAGCGCGACTCAGTGAACATGGATGGGCTGCAGAACATTAGCGTGACGAGTCGTGGGTTGGCAGGGGAAGCCTTACCACCCCCCCCCCCAACCTCCTGGGGGGCAAAGCTATGAGTTTGGGGGGCCCCACTGACAACCGCCATGAGATATGTTTTCAACAACAACGGTGTAAAAGAACAGGAACTTATCTTCTTGGTTCTTTCGGTAAAGGCACGTAGAAGGGAAATAAAAAATAATAAAAATAAAACATAATAAAATAATTCTCACGACGTTCCGGCCACAACGCAAGCAGCTGTCATCAGGTAGAGAACAGGTCTGTCTTCTCGACAGCTGCTTGCGTTGTGGCCGAAACGTCGTGAGAATTATTTTATTATGTTTTATTTTTATTATTTTATTATTTCCCTTCTACGTGCCTTTACCGAAAGAACCAAGAAGATGAATCCCTGCAGTCACGAAAGCTTTAAATCGAAAAACAAGAACTTATTTAAAACGCGGTTTAAATTTGTTTTTTTATTATTGAAATGCTTTCACTTACGTTCCACGTTTTATTTTAATTTAATTAAAGCAGTGACGTAATATTGCAAATAAGTGCTACGGTTTAGTTTAACACGTAGGTTTTCGCGACCAATATCATCCATAATAGAGGGGTTTTTTGGGTTAGATCGCGTACATATAAAACGTGTCATTAAAACAACATATTTTTTTGACGAAGCGAGTTGTAATTACTGGCGAAACGTCGTACTCAGATTGTAAATGTTGTGGCTTGGCTCTCCAACACACTGGTGTGCTGTACTAGTGACGAATTGGCCACGTTCTGTTTACGTGACAACCCTTACTAGTTGGCTGTGTCGGGTGGTGGCGGGTTTAACGACACATTTATATATTTACGCGATCTAACCCCAAAAGAAACCTCTATTAAGGTGTTAAGATGTTAAAACACTAGACACAAACGTTTTGCAAGGAATCATATCTACATTAACCACATATACTTGCGATGAACATGCAAACCGCGTAAATATAAATGTGTCGTTAAACCGGCCACAACCCGACACAGCCAATGGGTAAGGTTGTGTGAGGTGGACAAAACATTCCACGTTAACAAAACGTAACGAATTGGCCACGTTCTGTTTACGTGACAACCCTTACTAGTTGGCTGTGTCGGGTGGTGGCGGGTTTTAACGACACATTTATATTTACGCGGTCTAACCCAAACAAAAAACAACCTCTTATGGTGCGTACAAACACACGGAGCGCACAAGAAAACGCAGCCAAGGCGAATCCCTTTCACCAGCCACTCCTCGGAGCCTGGAGCCCTGCTTGCTAATGCACACCCGAGTGCATTTCTGAGCCCCCCCTCGGCAAATGCCGCTACCTCCATCATCCCCAATTTCCACTCCCCGCGCAAATCCCGCGTGCCTTTTGTCCCGTGCAGTCTGAACAACAACAAAGACAACAAAGACAACAATAACAAAGACAACAACAACAAAGACAACAACAAAGACAACAACAACAAAGACAACAACAACAAAGACAACAACAACAAAGACAACAACAACCCAGCGGGTAAATATCCATTGTCCGTCCTTTACTGCCCTCGTCTCTCTGCGACACAATTCTCAGAACTCTGCCAAGAAGCGAGTGCCCCCCCCCCCACCTTTCTCTCTCCCCCTTCTCTCGACCCCCCCCCCCCCACCACCACCACCCCCTGGCCAGAAATTCCATTCGTCTGCAGCCGAGTGGAGGCTCCCGAGTTTGCATTGATAATGACTCCGTTGAAGGGTCAAAGAGAGCAAGTGGAGGAGGAGGAGGCGGAGGGGGGAAGAGACCAGGCTAGAGAACCTCGGAGTCAAAACATCAACACGGCCGTCTGTCTGCCCTCTTTCTACTTGGTCACGTTCTTGGTCGGACTCGAAATTTTTTTTCTTGTAGGAACAAAATAGATGTGTTGTTATTGTTGTTTTTGTTGTTGGTGGTGGTGGTGGTGTTGTTTAGGGCCGCCCTGATTCTGTCCACTCTCACGCGACGGCGATCCACAAGGAGATTTCAAATAACGTCACAAAAACAATTAGCAGTGCCGTCTGATGTGTTGTTGTATCCACATCTATTGCCGTTTACGTTGTTAGAATTGTGTGGCAATTGACTGAGCCTAGTGATTAACTTCTTTGTTTAATTAATACAAAATGGGAATATGTGGAAGTGATCGATATTTGTGTCCGTTGAGGTCTCTCTTTGAGCGACCCAGACCTGGACAGCAATCCACTGCATTTCTCTATCCTCTCGCGATATCCCGGAATCCTTATCTCTCACCACGAAGTTGATGGCTATGTCTAATGCAAGACAACTCTATGTATACAGTAAAAAAGACAAAGATCCCCCGTATAGCTTTAACAGACTATTGGGGCAAGTGCTGTTAGTGAGCACCTATGAAGGCCGGCACGGCACACGAGGGGGTGGGTGGGCCAGTACCACGCCCGACCGCCTTTGTCTCCCCAGTGGCGATGTTTATGCACCACACCAGGTACTCGTTTGAGGCTGAGTCGACTTAGGGGAGGCCCAGGCCCGGTTCGGATAATCGTCACCGGTGTTGACCGTGAGCAGGATTCGAACTCGGGTCGCTAGGTTTGTAGCGCGGCGTGCTACCCGCTACACTACCGCTCCCCACAGTACACACACACACACAGTACACACACACACACACAGTACACACACACACACATAAGCACTGCACTATGGTGTTCACTTTAGTTCTAAGTGAATTGATATTCCTTGAATGAATTAAGCAATAGAGCTCTATGAAATGCAGAATTAAATGGAGGTTAAATGCAATTAATGAATGTAACATCCCTGAAAGTAAATGGGGGTAATGTGAATTAATAGAGCAACGTAAACGCAAATACAGCTCACGCTGATTATCTCCATCTCAGAGAATCGATAGACTTCCATGTGATTAATCCGCTTTCATGAACGTGAGTGAATACGGGCCTTTTTGCATTGACAGACCTCTGAGCAAGTGAATTTAGAAGAATAGGAAGAAAACCCCCATCCCTTTCATCTTCTTGGTTCTTTCGGTAAAGTCACGTAGAAGGGGAATAATAAAATTATAAAAATAAAACATAATAAAATAATTCTCACGACGTTCCGGCCACAACGCAAGCAGCCGTCCTCAGGTGAAGAACAGGTCTGTCGGAAAGACAACGTCTGAATGAAACACCACCAAGCTTGGAGCATATATTTAAATATAATGTTTTATTTTTATTATTTTATTATTTCCCTTCTATGTGACTTTACCGAAAGAACCAAGAATATGGATCTTTAATCTTCTTGGTTCTTTCGGTAAAGTCACGTAGAAAGGGAATAATAAAATTATAAAAATAAAACATAATAAAATAATTATCACGACGTTCCGGCCACAACGCAAGCAGCCGTCCTCAGGTGAAGAACAGGTCTGTCGGAAAGACAACGTCTGAATGAAACACCACCAAGCTTGGAGCATATATTTAAATATAATGTTTTATTTTTATTATTTTATTATTTCCCTTCTACGTGACTTTACCGAAAGAACCAAGAATATGGATCTTTCATCTTCTTGGTTCTTTCGGTAAAGTCACGTAGAAGGGAAATAATAAAATAATAAAAAGAAAACATTATTAAATAATTCTCACGACGTTTCGGCCACAACGCAAGCAGCCGTCCTCAGGTGAAGAACAGGTCTGTCGGAAAGACAGCGTCTAAATGAAACACCACCAGGCTTGGCAGCGTATATTAAAGCTGGGTTGGAGGGGGAAGAGCGCCTTGACAAAAAGAATTTGCATCTCTTTGTTTGCCATCATCACCTCCTGGCTGGGAGCAGACCCGCGGTGACGTGAACCCGAGGGATGAGATGCGGCTTGGCCGCCTCGTGTCTCTTGGGCTTGAGAAGTCCAAAAGGCGGCCTCCGCTGAGGCTCACTTGCAGCAACGGGAAACCTCTCGAGTGCTCGACACGAGGGCTCATTACTCAGTGCTGCCCTCGTTGATACACATGAAGGGGGCTGGATCAAGGGTTTGTCCATTGGATGTATGGATTTTTGTTGAATTTTACGGGTTTTTTTTGTCTGCTCACAATTACAATTGCCCTTGCGTCCTTACACGATGGGGAGATTGTCTCCGTGCGTGTGTATGTATTTCTGTGTGTGTGTGTTTGTATGCGTGAGTGTGTGTATCTATATATGTTCGTGTGTATGGATGGATATGTACACGTATGGGGAGGGGTGGTGTAGCGGTTAACGCGCTGTGCTACGACCCCGGCCAACCGAGTTCGATTCCCGCTCACGGCCAACACCAGTGACGATTATCTGAACCGGTTCTGGGCTTCCCTTAGGTCGACTCAGCCTCAAATGACTGCCTGCTCCTGTGTGCAAAAATCATCGCCACTGAGTGGTGATGGTGGGTGGGTGAGTGGTGATGGTGGGTGGGTGGTGATGGTGGGTGGGTGGGTGAGTGGTGATGGTGGGTGGGAGGTCACCGTGGTTTTTGCTCACTGTGCTGTGAGCCCGGTGACCCGAGTTCGAATCCTGGCCCAGGTGATCCTCGGTGGCGAGTGCCGTCTGCTGAACCGGTCCTGGTGGTAGCTTCGTCACGACCGCCAACATCTTCAACTAACCGGCCAATGAACAGCACGGTGGAGGTTATGGTCCAACGATGCTCATGACCCCTGGACACGCCATGGTGAGGCCTCTCAATCCAGCAGGGACTTACCAAAAGAGGGGTGATATTAACAACAACAATAATACATGTTGGGGTTTATTTAGTATTTTTTACAATATATAAGAGGTTCACATTTATTCTTTGCGACCACGAGTTGCTGCAACGTTCACCACGAGATAGAAACAAAAAGCTTTTCGATCGTTGATTCAAATCGTGACCCTTAATCATGACAATTCATCAAATCGGTGGAAGAGGAGGAGGGAGAGGCAGGGAGTGAAGGGTCAGGGGAGGGACGGAGAGATGTTGGCGGTGGGGGGGGGGGCGTTGTGGCGGCTGAATCGTTATAACCCCCTAAGAGATTTATAACAAGCTGGGGTTGTCGTGCGGCGAAGAGGCTACGGGGTCGGGGTGAGGGGGGTGGTGGCGGGCCGCTGGAATGAGTCAGCTGCGATGTCAAAGTCCACGCGGCCCCGTCTGACATCTTCATAAATTGCTCCTCTCTCTCTCTTTACTCTCTGAGCGCGCCGTTCGCCCCCCCCCCCCCCGTTCCTGACGAGTGAGCCTTGCGCGTAAAACCGCACTGACGCGCACAATCGCTCATAAAGCCACACAGCACGCAAATACAAAGACCCCCCTCCCCACCCCGTACAGCCTTTAACAGACTGTTGGGGCAAGTGCTGTTAGCGAGCAGCACCTATGAAGGCCGGCACGGTGGCACACGATGTGTGTGGGGGGGGGGGGCAGCATCCACACCCGGCCGCCCTCGTCGTATCATTTTGAGGCTGAGTCGACCTAGGCGAGGCCCAGATCCGGTTCAGATAATCGTCACCGGTGTTGGGTGTCAGAGGGAATCGATCCCGGGTCGCCGAGTTTATAGCGCAGCGCGCTAACCGCTACACTACCGCACACACAACAACAACAACAATCGCCACTAAGTGGCTGTGACGTCACCACGACGCTTGTACCAGGCTATGTGCACATGCGCATACAAACAGGCGCAGAGGTTATCCCGACTGTTAGCGAGCACCTATTTCAGGCTGACGATGCAAGCACCGTGCCCGGTCGACTTAATCCCAGTGGCGTAGCGCGGTTGGCATGGGCCCTGATGCAGTTAGTGAGATGAGAGCCCCCCCCCCCCCGCCCGCCCCCCATCTCTGTTCAAAATCTCCCATCTCAGTAGACCGGTGCCTGGGCCCCACTGAATGGCGTGGCTCGGTGCGATGTGCACACACAGCCGTGCGCCCCAGCGCGGGTGGACACGGAGAGGCCGGGTTACCAGCGCTTGATGTTCGAACCACACACACAACAGGTAAGTCGTGCTGGGCCGAATCAATGTAGGGGAACCCCAGGCCAGATTCGGATAATAATAATAATAATAATCTGAAGGAAAAAAAACAAAGTCGTTCGTCACGGCCAGGAAAGAAGCCCAGGTCATGGGTGAGCACAGCTGACCACGAAGACTCCATCATCAATCCTCATTTGTCTCTGTCCACCACCGATTAGCACGGTTGGCTACGTACGGTGCGAAAGAAGTTCAACATACATACGCACAAGACAAGAGGCACCCACGTGGTCATCGTTTACGGGAGGCCCAGTACAAATTCAAATGCAACTTGTCACCGATGTGCTGTTTGCGAGCACCTATTGAGCCGGGTAAAGTGCAAACTAATTTGAGGCACCCAGACCACCGGTTTGGTTATTCGTCACCGGTGCTGGCGGCCGCGAGCGGGAATCGAACTCCGGTCAGCATCGCTCAAGCGCAGGGCCCAGTGGCATTAATTGTGGCCTCACATGCCGTGTGTCGCACGACCACTTAAAATGATCACGTTTTCTCCCACCACTTCCCCGCGACACCAAAACCCTCAACAGACCCACGCACCCCCCCCCCCCGTCTCCCCAACCATCTCCCTCAACAACCCACAGAGTCAGCCCCATCGCTCACCCGACCGCCGGGCAACCAATTGTTAGGCGGTCGGATGTCGGCGTGGATATGGATCGCGAGAACCTGGGCTCTTTTTTGTTGTTTGGGGGATGGGGAGGGAGGAAGAGGGAGGGAGGAGGGGGGAGAGAGAGGGGGGCAGAGGGAGAAGGGAGGGAGGGGGAGAGGGAGGGGGGGAGAGGGGGGGAGAGGGAGGGGAGGGAGGGGGAGAGGGAGGGGGGGAGAGGGAGAGGGAGGGGGGAGGGAGGGGGAGAGGGAGGGAGGGGAGGGAGGGGGGGAGGGAGGGGAGGGAGGGGGAGAGGAGGGAGAGGGAGGGGAGGGAGGGGGAGAGGGAGGGGGGGAGAGGGAGGGGAGAGGGAGGGGGGAGGGGAGGGAGGGGGAGAGGGAGGGGGGAGAGGGAGGGGGGAGGGAGGGGGAGAGGGAGGGGAGGGAGGGGAGGGGGAGAGCGAGGGGGGGGAGAGGGGGGGAGAGGGAGGGGGGAGGGAGGGGGAGAGGGAGGGGAGGGAGGGGAGGGGGAGAGGGAGGGGGGGAGAGGGGGGGGAGAGGAAGGGGAGGGAGGGGGGAGAGGGAGGGAGGGGAGGGGAGGGGGAGAGGGAGGGGGGAGAGGGAGGGGAGGGGGAGAGGGAGGGGAGGGAGGGGGGGGAGGGAGGGGAGGGAGGGGGAGAGGGGGGAGAGGGAGGGGGTGGAGGGGAGAGGGGAGGGAGGGAGAGGGAGGGAGGGGGGGAGAGGGGGGGAGAGGGAGGGGAGGGAGGGGAGGGGGAGAAGGAGGGGGGAGAGGGAGGGGAGGGGGAGAGGGAGGGGAGGGAGGGGGGGAGGGAGGGGAGGGAGGGGGAGAGGGGGGAGAGGGAGGGAGTGGAGGGGAGAGGGAGGGGGGAGGGAGGGGGAGGGAGGGAGGGGGGGAGAGGGGGGGAGAGGGAGAGGGGGGAGAGAGAGGGTCGAGAGTGAGGGAGCAGAGAGAGGGGGGGGGGCAGAGAGAGAGAAGGGAGAGGGGGGAGAGAGAGGGGAGAGAGGGGGGGGGGGGCGACGTGGCACGATGAATTGGACGTTTAGACGAAAAGCCAAGTCGCTCTCGAATAAAAAAAACGTGAATAAATGTTACAGATCGAGAGAGGTGTAGGGGACACTTGAGGTGTGTTGTTGTGATATGACAACAACAAAGAGGATGTTTATGATGGTGCTGAAGGTGTTGGTAGTGATGACGACTGATAATTACGAGCAGGGGTCTAATTTGCCACTTGCACAGTGGGGAAGCTGCTCGTAGAGGGGAGGAGATGGCGGCACGCGATTCAAGTAGCCCACGGGGACATAGGGAGAGCTCGGCTGGATGTGGTGTGCCGGGCGCCACAAATATTTCCGCGTCCGCCGAAATGAAGCCCCGTTCATAAGGAGGCTGTTGACAATGGCCATGATGGTTTTTGACATTCATGAGATTACAACAAAGATATCATTACAGTGACGTGGCGTGGTTGGCACGGGCCCCTGGTGAAATTAAATGGGGCACCTCCCCCCCCTCCTGAGCCCCCCCACCTCCTGCCCCCCCTCCTGCCCCCCCCTCCTGCCCCCCCCCCTCCTGCCCCTCCCCTCCTGCCCCCTCCTCCTGCCCCCCCCCTCCTGCCCCCCCCTCCTGCCCCCCTCCCCCCACTTGATAGTTCGGTGTCTGGGCCCCTACCGGCCCGTGGGCCCCGGTGCAGTTGCACCGCCTGCACACTGTGTGATAACTACCCCACTCTACAATGATGATGACGATAATGATGGTGAGTGGAAAAGGTAAAAATATTGTAGGCTTTTAAAATATTCATCGCAGTCGTGTTTGTTTAAAAAGTAACAAGTTATATTTTGTAATTTATTCAGGAATGGTAACTAGGTACTAGCGTCATTATTATTAAATAGAACATTAATATCAAATGGGTTCTCTCATAAAAAAAATAGGGAGCCTATTTAATTGCTGATATTAAAAACACACGTTATTTTTGATGAATAATACAATATATATTGTATATCTGTTAATAACAATTATGCTATGGTGTAATGTGACAGAGCGGTGTAATAAATTTGGCTTTCAAGAGATTTTCAAATTGTTCTTCATCACGATCGTTAATATCTTTAGTTAACAATGTTAACTGTGTTGGATATTTATCGTATTATTCTATTCGATGTATTGTATTCGTACACTCCTGAGATAGTTTGATTTCATATCATATATGTCCAGTATATCTCTCCAGCGGGCGGTTAAAGGTTATCTCATAATAATAACAACCGAAGTTGTTCTATATGACAAAAAACATGAATCCCACGGGAACTTAGTGTAAGAAAGGGTTTCCCCAACTCCAATCCTCGAGGCCCACCACCACGCTGCACGCACCGGATGATTGTTAAACACGTGACGCGCTAAGCAACTGGCGCTGCCTGCGTCACGTGGAACACGTGTACACAGGCAAATGTGAAACACGTGTACACGTAAACACACGTGGAACGCGTGTACACATGAAGACACGTGTAACACGTGTACACATAAACACACGTGGAACGCGTGTACACATAAAGACACGTCCGTGTAGCATGGACTGGAGTTTGTTTAAACTTGGACTGTAAGAACTTTGGGACGGGTCGAAAATGTGTTTCTATTGCCTTTATATTAATTTGAACTTGAGAGAATAAGCCCTTAATTCCCCTAATAATTTATGATTTTCAATTTAGAGTTAAGAAAACCAGATTAAGCAAGAATCACTTTCGTTGTTCCTCATTTGTTTGCCAAAATTTAATCGCCTCCTGCCAAAAGATAATTCCGTCATTAAATTAAGGAGCATTTTATATTCACTGTGTGAGACGACTAGTCTCATTTGGGTGGCGTGGGGGGGTGGGCGTGGGGGGTGGGAGCGATGGGGGGGGGGGTAGGTGGGGGGTGGGGAGCATTTGCCCATAGTTCATTTGTCATTTAGTCAGTAATAATGCAGCGAACAACCGAGGGAATACTGTCAGCATAATAATCCGCGGCCATACACAATGCGGCGTCCAATTAAAGTTTAATTAACGCAGCCTGAATCAGCGCAATTTCGCAAAGTCACTGATGCACACGCGCACGTGCTCACACCGACACACACGTGTACACACACGTGTACACGCACAATGACAAAGACCCCCGTTATAGCCTGAACAGACTGTTGGGGCAAGTGCTGTTGACGAGCAGCACAGATGAAGACATGCACGGCACACGAGGGGGTGGGTGGCCAGCACAACGCCCGGCTCGTGACAATGTTTAGACATCGCACGAAGGACTCATTCTAGGCCGAGTCGACCTAGGGCAGGTCCACGACTGGTTCAGAGAATCATCACTGGTGCTGGTGTTGGTGGCCGCGAAGCGGGAATCGAACTCGGATCGCCGGGTTCGCAGCGCAGCGCGCTAACCGCTACACCACCGCTCCCCACATATAAATGAATCGCACATTTCATTTGTTTTCCCAGCCCAGAGACGTAATTTATTGTTTCATCTCATTATTGTATTTCATTGTTTTATATTGTTGTTGAATCTTATTGTTGTATCTCATTGTTTTATCTCATTGTTGCATCTCATTGTTTATCTCATTGTTGCATCTCATTGTTTTATCTCATTGTTGCATCTCATTGTTGTATCTTATTGTTGTATCTCATTGTTTTATCCCATTGTTGTATCTTTTTGTTTCATCTCATTGTTGTATCTTATTGTTTTATCTCATTGTTGCATTTCAATGTTTTATCTCATTGTTGTATCTTATTGTTTCATCTCATTGTTGTATCTCAATGTTTCATCTTATTTGACTGCGATTCAACGCTCATCTCTCAAGCAGAGCGTGGTCGGACGGTGTCCCTCCGATGAGCTCGGCGTCAAATTCTTCCCCAACCCACCATCTCCGTCCAAACCAGCCGTGTGAATGGGTCACACCGCAACCGATCGGGATGTCTCCCTGTCGGTGGGGTAAAGCGTGGGCACTCCAACTTATTTCACAGATGCGTGGCCTGTGCGAAAGAGTCGGCAAAAGCACCCCTCTCTAGCGGGCTCTATCTCTCTCTCTCGTGTGGAGTTCCGTGTAGTGTGGAGGCCCTTCAGCTGAGTAAGAAGAACACTTGTTATCGCGCACTCTTATGAGTCCAGTACATCACGAGTGCGTATCGATCACGCGTTGGAGTGGGCTCTGGGAACACGACAAAAAACACCGTTTGTGAGTCTGTTGCAGAACCTGGCTCAGACTCGGGGATGGATCCGCTGAGCGCGAGCTGGTGGCGTGTTCCAGCCCTTCGTGCCGGAGACCCGCGACACTGCGCTGGTCATCAGTGCCGGATTATCCTCGTAGCACAAGTAGTTACATGTGTAGTAGTAGCTGCATATGTAGATACATATGTAGTAGCTTCATATGTAGCAGCTGCACGTGTAGTAGTAGCTACATGTGTAGTAGTAGCAGCTGCATGTGTAGTAGCTGCTGCATGTGTAGTAGCTACATATGTGTAGTAGTTACATGTGTAGTAGTAGCTGCATATGTAGCAGCTGCATGTGTAGTAGCTGCTGCATGTGTAGTAGCTGCATGTGTAGTAGCTACATGTGTAGTAGCTACATGTGTAGTAGCTACATATGTGTAGTAGTTACATGTGTAGTAGTAGCTGCATATGTAGCAGCTGCATGTGTAGTAGCTGCTGCATGTGTAGTAGCTGCATGTGTAGTAGCTACATGTGTAGTAGCTACATGTGTAGTAGCTACATATGTGTAGTAGTTACATGTGTAGTAGTAGCAGCTACATGTGTAGTAGCTACATGTGTAGTAGCTACATATGTGTAGTAGTTACATGTGTAGTAGTAGCTGCATATGTAGCAGCTGCATGTGTAGTAGCTGCTGCATGTGTAGTAGCTGCATGTGTAGTAGCTACATGTGTAGTAGCTACATGTGTAGTAGCTACGGGCCCCGCACTTTGATGGGCCCCGCGCTAAATGCTTTCAAGCTATCAATTCCGGTTCTGCACTTGCTCTATTACTATAGTACAATACTGCCTTCAACTTTTATGAACGACTGGGTGTTTAAGGTTAGCGATTTGTCGTA